AGCAATGAAATTACAAAATTCCAATAAATCAGTATCTCGTGTTGAGTTCTTCGTGACAGGCTGATCGTTAACGGAGGAAAGAAGAAGATGGAAAAAATGCAAGAGCAACATGTATGATAAGTAGTAATCCATACTATCTATAGATCTTGACCATGATTTGTTTATGTATGATTGCATGCGCACGAGATGATGTAAATCATTTCCAATCGATAGCGTCAAAATCACGGTAAAGTCGTTCGTGTTCCTTGGTCTCAGATACTGCTCACCGCTCGTTCCTCGTGCAGTCTCTTCTCAAACGTGTACCTTCGGCCGATCTTCTCGACGTAGGCTCGGCCCTCTTTATCACTGCGAAAAGATCTCGTCTTCCTCGTAGCATTGTCCCGTAACACGTCCACGCTGCGTTGCATTAACGAACCTCTATTTCTGTTATAGAGCACGCGAGTCGACGTAATTAAACCGTGACCCGTCTCAGTCGATTGTTCTGGAATCGAGATCGGGAATGATGAAATTGGTAGGTAAACTCGTTCGACGTTGCATCAAGAACTTGGAGGATATTGTCGTCTGACCATCGCAGCAAAGATTTGCAAACTGGTATCATTGTTCCATACTTTATCTTTGATCGGTCGTGTCTCCACGTCGGAAGAATTTGACGTTAACGACGGTCTGTATCGTCGCCGACTTCCGTGTCGCTGTAAAACGATCCTATTTCCTGCCCAGCAACGCTATTGTTCCGATAACGTCGTAAAGAAGCAGTTCAAACGCCGATTCGCAGGACGATGTCGCACAGTTACACTTGGATGATTTATCGTTTAACGATTGCTCGAAGATACCGATAAAGCTTCGCCTCGCGTACGTGTAATTCCTTGATAAAACGGACAAACACTTCGCATTAAAATTACGAGATAGTTTCATTCAGCAGTTTAACTTTAGGTATACTCGGAATTACAGTCACGCACGGCATCGCGTTAAATATTCCAAGCAGAGAACAACTAATTACAAGTTAACTGGCAGCTGCTAATCAAAACAGGTTTCACGTGTGTTTGATAGCTCGACGCATCGTGGCCACGTCTGTTAAGGGAAAAGGCGGTGCTTACGATTAGCCTCTTGGCTAAGTTTCTGTCGAAGTAATACTCGTAAATAACGATTAGATTTATATCACACAGCATCTGTTGTAACTGTATCTACGAAGCTGTTGGGCAATAAAAAAATTAATTAGAACGCTACGGTAAGGATGGTATATTTCACGATCTGAAATTGAATCTTGTTGTTCTCGCTCGTAATCTTCGACGTTAAGAAATCGTACAACGTCTACAATTTTAGATGATCGACAAACCACCGTTGGAGGTAGTAATAAAGCAGCGATATCGACCGCGATAGAGCAAAACATTCTGCTCATCGATCACCTGGAGTGAGGTAGAGAAAGCGGGCGAAGCAAAAAAAAAAACTGAACGACACGTTGTTATAGAAATTACGTTAACGCGGGGACGTGACGACGAAGGGGAAGCAGGAAACGCGTGGCCCTAGCAACAAGCAAAAACGGCAGTATGTATGT